CAGCATCGTAAAAATCAACATACTGAGAGTCTAGTCCTGGATTACGATGTTAGCAATGTAATTTTTCATAGGATTTTTTTTCCGTGTATTCACACATAATCATTGGTAAGACTTAAGTGGCGATAGTTAATAAAAATGGAACCACAGAGGGAGCAATAATATAAATTAGGGTAGAAGTACCAGTTTTGATTATCTACACAAGGAACACGTGAATGAGCAAGATTCCTGTTACAGAGCGTTGTGCAAAACTCTTAGTTTCTAGCGTCTCTATCTACGTATGTGCCTTGCTCAAGTTCATATCACAAGATACTATCTCAAGAATTATGTATAACTGCCCTAGCGGTTTCGGTGCCACCGACAAAACTCTGTAGAAACTCATCCGAACTCAGCGTAGCGACGGAGTATAGCCAGCGTATATGGGGAATAAACTTGGAGTATTGTGTGCAGTTGTGACACATAAAGACGATAGTGGTTCATTGGTATTCTATTGGAATCGTTACGGAGTTTTGTTGGAGTTTCACTGGTGTTCTTATAAAGTTTCCCTAGAGTTTTATCAGTATTTTTGCGGATTTTCTTTCGAGTATAGTCGGCGTCTTCACCAAGTTTTTGTGGAGCTTTCCGGGAGTATTTTGAGAGTTTCATCGGAGTTTTCCTCGAGTTCTACTGGTATTCTTACGGAGTTTCTGTCAAGTTTTTTTGGAATTTTCGGAGTTATATCTATCTATCTATCTATGTATCTATATATATCAAAATAAATTGCTGTACGTTAGTCTCGTTAAAACTCAAAAACGGCTGGACCGATTTTCAAAATTTTTTTTGTTTTTTTCGTTATAGTTCAGGGATAGTTTAGAAAAATAAAAATTTTTGAAAAACCCGAAAGTTCAGCTAAAAAAATTAAAAAAAAAATGAATTGCTGTACGTTCGTCTCACTAAAACTCAAAAACGGCTGGACAGATTTTCAAAATTGTTTTTTTGTTTTGTTCGCTACAGTTCAGAGATAATTCAGAAAAAAAAATTTTTTGAAAAACCTGACAGTTCAGCTAAAAAAATCATTATCATCAAATAATAAAAAGATATAAAAATAAATTGCTGTGCGTTAGTCTCGCTAAAACTCAAAAACAGGTGGACCGATTAAAAAAATTTTTTTTTTGGTTTGTTCGCTATAGTTCAAGGATAATTAAAAAAAAATTTTTTTGGAAAACCCGAAAGTTCAGCTAAAAAAATCAAAAATGGTTAATTTTGTATCGGAATCGCTATTGTTACGCTTGAGCCTCAAGGTTGCAAGAGTGTACCAAAATTGTTCAATATGTAAGAAGATACGTATAAGTATACTGCAGAGATACTATTTACCTATATTCAGTTTGTAGGACATAACCACAAATCTCAAGAAGAAACTCAAGAAGAATGTTTGTCATTACTTTGGTTTTGTTCGCTATAGTTCAGAGATATTTTCAAAAGAATAAAATTTTTGGAAAACCCGTAAGTTCAGCTAAGAAAATCATCAGATCTGAAATTGTTAATCGTCTATCTTCTGTATATATGGAGAAAAAAAATTTCATGAATTCAGTATTGATTTTTTGGAATCTTGATTTTCAGGCGATAATAAGAAACGAGTTTCATTTAATAACTTGAAAAAATCCTAACCACACTTCATACAGCTAGTATTTATTCTTTATCGAAGTAGATTAGAGTTTAAAAATTGATAATCGCTGATCGAAAGGTGTAACAAAATAAATTGTAGGTGATACGAAGTTCACCGGATCAGCTAGTATATATAGGTTATTCCATGCCAAATCGACCACTTTTGAACCCGACCCCTTTAGATTTAGCTGAAACTTTACTATTCTTTTCTACCCTTTGAAAGACATTTTTGAGAATTTTTCCAAATTTTTTTATCCTGTAACGGGTGGTTTATTTCCCGTACTTAAGGCCCCTGATTAAATTTAAACAATTAACAATATTTTTAACAAATGACTCTAAGTTGCTTCAGGGCGCCACCAGGATTATTGTCTCGGTTCCTGGAACCGGATACCAGAGCTGAGTTACTTAATCTTCAGAGAGAGAGAGAGAGAGAGGTGGTCTGAAATAAATATATTTTTATTAACAACGGTACCAAACTTTATTAACAATAAAAAAAATTAACAATTCGTACACTGTATGTACACTCCTCAACTCACTTACACTACTCACTTAAAACTACTGGACAATTTCGGGCTGTAACCGGCGACTCCACTTAACACTACGACTTAATACTAAGGTCTCTTACTTCACGCTCCCCACCGGAAGTCGCTACTACAACTTATATCTACGTTGAGGATTTCGGGCTGGAACCGTCGCCTCACTCAACGTTAATCCTCTGCTCGGCAATTCATCAACAAGCAGAAGACGTCGCACCAAGTCCTAGTCGTCCTACTCGGCAATTCATCAACAAGTAGGGCTCGTCTTATAAAATTTTCCTAATCCCACAGTACCCTCATATGGAGCGTCTATACTGTGGTTTCTAACTACGTCGCGCTGTCCACCGGACCCTCACGCTCTAGGACTGTACGAATTGCTCCACTCGGCAATTCATCAACAAGTAGAGAACGCGTACAATCGCACACACACACACCCCACACGATCTTCACACACATTACCCACGCGTCACACACACACTGATTCTACTTTCTTATTTCCGGATTTACTAAATTACTCCGAAAAATGTCAACTTTAATTTTTCTAAAATAACTCAGTCATTAGCTTGGATTAAAACCCTATGATTTATTCTCACAAATTAAACAAATTCCTTTCTTAAAATTCCGGCTTAAACCGACGCTTCTTTTTCCGCCATTTTGAACAAGAGCTTATCTCTACGCATTCACAAATTCTTAGAACAGTCTTTTGTAAATTTGACTAAATTTTACTCGGACTTAATCCATACGAATAATTAGTTTTTATAATAATTTTACCGGAATAGCAATACTAAATTATTGACAAATTTTTTTCAAGACAAGATTTCAATATATAAGACTCCCCACGCAGAAATTGGCAATTAAATCAGATAATAAATTATAATTTTACTCAATATGAAAATTACGTGCCTCAACTTTCCTGCGGGTGTTTCAGTCTTATCTGCGTCGAAATTTAATAAATCAATTCTCAACAATTAATAACACGTGGAATAATAAATTTCTAATAATTAGCCCACGCTATCTCCACACACACACTCACTCTACTTTTTTATTTCTGGATTTCCAAAAATTACTCCGAAAATTCACAACGTTAATTTTTCTAAAATACTTCAGTCATTAGCTTACAATAAAAACTCCTAAATTTATTCTCATAAATTAAACAAATTCCTTTCTTAAAATTCCGGCTTAAACCGACGCTTCTTTTTCCCGCCATTTTGAACACGAACTTATCTCTGCGCATTAACAAATTTCTCAGAACCTTTGCCGCAACATTTTACCTCGACATTTTTGTTGCGGGTAAAACTGTTAATTTTTTCTCGGACGTAATCCACACGAATAAATAGTTTTTATAATAATTTTACCGGAATAATGATGCTAACAAAATCATTGGTATGAATTCAATATAAGACTCCCCTGACAGAAATTGGCAATCAAATTAGATAAAAAATTATAATTTTACTCAATATGAAAATTACGTGCCTCAATTTTTCTGCGGGTGTTTAGTCTTATTTACGTCGAAATTTAATAAATTAGTTCTCAACAATTAATAACACGTGGAATAATAAATTTCTAGTAACTAGCGAATAACGGTTAGATTATAAATAATTCACTTCAGAGTGAAAAAGTAATTTCAAAAAAATACCCACGGTCCTAAATTTCGAAATGCAACGCAGTTTTCTCAATAATCAATTCCGGTAATTAAAATTGTTCCGAATAATTACCCAAACAATTTTCCAAAACGATAAATATATATAAATTAATTAATTAAACGAGAAGTAATATTTTCCATGAGCTGGGTGTGAACCCCTTAGCTCATCACTACCAAAGTCCAATACCTGGCGTCAATTTGGTTTGAAGGAACTCCTTGGTTGCTACTGGCTTCCTTCTTGGACTCCTTGATGTTACTCATTTGAGCACTACACTACTTCTCTACTTCCCCCACACAACGCACTGCTCAGCTATTTAATGGATCCCCGAAATACCCCCTCCCACTTACTACTAGTCGGGTCTTATCGGGTCCCGAAGATCGAGACGCCAGTGCTGCGTCGAATTATTATCACGCGCGATCGATTTTATCGATCAGGGGCAAAGTGCCCTGTTACAATCCAACCCAAAAAAAGTTATGAATTTTTCAAAAAAATGGCTTTTTTATTTTCAAATAGCCATAACTTGTTTAGAAATTGACTTTTGGGTACCTTTTTTTTTTTAAATTTTTGTTTTTGAATGAACTTTTCGAAAAATTAAACGCAAAAAAATTTAACATGATCAATTATATCAAATAATCGTTTTTTTTTAAGTAAAATCGTCATTTTTTCGAAGTCCGCCATTTTCTTTTTTTTTTCTCAAAAAAAACTTCAATTTATTTGACAACTATCCCCGCCAATTCCGAGCAGGACCGATTTTTTTTTTATATTTTTTTTATTTATTTGAAAAAAAAATTGTCAAATTTTCAAAAATGGAAAAAATTTTTTTTCCGTAAACTTTATTTCTATCATAAAATAAATATAATTTAACGATTCTGTGATACAATTCTCAATTTATAGACTTAATTTACGAATATAATCACCAAGATTCAAATTTTAACCTATCAGTTAGGTCGATAAACTAGGGTAGGACAATTGGAGACTTACCTATAGTCAGTATACTAGAAACTATACGCTAGTCTGTATCGATTTATGAATACCCCTGATAGCCACCTTAACTTAAACTTTTATTCAATCTACTGCCGAAATTTGTAGCCAACTTGATGAAAAAAGTTGCAAACCAAATGTTTTTACTTGAATTGTTTACAAGTTACACTGCAATTTGACGTCAAAACTTGAAGTACTTAATTTTAGTGACGTTGTTGGCTGATAGATTAAGCTGGGTGAGTTCGTTGGCGACCAGCTTATCTTCAATACTTGGAAGTCCTCGTAGTACCATGTATTTCATTTTATTTTCGCTAAATGCATGTGTGTAGTACTGCATCGACTTAGAATTAAAGAGATTTATAATTGTAGTATAATCATCCTTGTTCGTAGTGAAAATATAAAACTTTCCACCAGTGATTTTGAAGGTTATTGTGTGTTTGGCTATTTCAGTTAGCTTTTTTGAAAAGCCTGATGGGTCATTGATGTTCTGTGTCACAACAATCGGTGGCAATCTTGGTGTTTTCTGCGATGATGATTCGCTCACTAATGACGTGTCATGCTGTTCTCCGTTACCGTCAGGCAATTGTCCGATATACATGATAAAGTCCTTGATAATTGAATGATTCATATTTATAACCATTTGGTAGATTTCGTCAGCTGGAAAAAAAATCTAATATCAATCTAACCTTTAGTTTTTTAGCTTATAACTCTACTTATATTGCACGCCTCATAATTTTACCCTACTATATAGCTACATCGAAAAGTAATAATATGTATAGTTTTTGATGAAAAAAATAATAAAATGACGAGAAAAAATAACATTTTTTATGCAAACTAATATATTTTCATCGAAAGCCAAAAAAAGTAGTTGTTTTTTTTTCTATGAACAGATCAATTACTTTTCGTTGAATGTGTGCAGAGCTGGCTGCAATTTTGGTTCCGATTTTTTTGAAAGTTAAATTTCAAAAAAAAAGTGATCCTGAAAATTTCAGCTCAGTAGATTAAATCTATAGCAGATGTAGAATTCTTTAAAATCAAAACAATTGATTTTCTAGTAATTTTAAAAGAATCTTATCTTAGCCAGTATATTCAGTCGGGGAAAAATTCTCTGCTGTAACTCAATGCCGTCATATTTTTAATTTATTTTACTCTTAACTTTGAAAATTATTATAATAAATAAAACTCATCTTACCGCATAGAGTAGTTATAGGTATCACAGATATAATATCTTGGTCATTATTTTTAGCTATATTTAGTACTTCCAGTATATCTTCTAAATTTTTTATTATGGAATTCTGTGTACAGTAATTTTCAAGTGTAATGATGCATCCTAAATTATCAAGTACGTGCATAGTGACATTTTTAAATGTATGGCTAAGAAAATAAAGTATGCCAACATTAAATTGTGTTAATAGAGAATATCCTATAAGCACAAGAGTTTGCTGATCTTCAAGTCTCACTATCATATCATAGATTTTTTTTACTGTATCATAATTATCAAAAACCAAATTATACTGAAAAAGTAAATAATTAGGAATTCTATTGTTTGTTATAAATATCGTTGTTGAATTTTTATCAGGATAAAACCAGTCAAGTTTCAATGAATTAGTAATTTCAATTGCTGAGTCATAAAAGTTGAAAATTTTCGACTCACAAAACTTGGAATTTTTAATTTTCAAGTATGATCTTCCCACCGATAGTTGAAGTTTTACGTATTTATTGGTAAACTGCAAAAATAATGTAAGAAAATTAATTTACAAATAAAACAGAAAGTTTTTTATTAGAATATGCTTTTCAAAACTTTTGAATTTTCAGCTTTATATTTCCGTAAAATATCCCTTGAATTTAACTCAAGTATTAGCTCTCTGTCACATGAACATAAGATCCTTCTTACGGGACTCATATATCAATATGACAAGCATTGATTGCGACTTTTTAGATACAGCTAGTTAGTAACTTTTTTTTTCAAATACATTATGCTTTGCAGAGAGGCAAGTTCTGCTTATAATTAAGTAATAATTCTAATGGTGATTTAAATAAAAACCCCCTGATTAAAAAAAGAGATTTGGAAATATTGCCTCAATGCAAAATGTAGTATTGAAATCGAATACTTTTTAATTTTTTTAACTCATTTTGAATCCCTTTTCTTAATCAAAGTCCATAAGACACAATAGTTTCTATAAAGTTAGATGCATTACTTTTCACCGCGAAGTTGGGGGATAGTTTGCCGATTTTTTTTCTCAAATATAGGTCAGAAACGTGGGTGATCCTGAAAATTTGAGCTCGATACGCACAAATCAGGCCGCTGGAGAATTTTTCGAAATTTTTTAAAATTTGATTTTTTAGTTACTTTTATAAATGTCTATCTCAACTTCTATACGACTCAGAGTATCTACTCAAACAGTGTTGTTTTCTGTTGATCTTATATTTCAAAGAAAAAAACAGCTAGTTAGTTCAAACTCATATATTCGATTCAGATAGGAGCTTCCAACTGAAGAGCAGTGAAAATTCAATGTAATAGATAATCAATACGAGCCCATCTATCAATAAAAAATGATTATGTTTTGATTCAAGCGATATGGACGAAAATAATATCAATTCCAAAAATCGAAACTAATTGTGTACTTTTTAACACGTTACCGTTCTCTTGGAAACTACTATCGAGTCAAATAGAATAGACTATTTTTTTCAAACGTGAGTAACTTATATTTAAAAAAATGGCATTAAAAAAATATGACACATATAGATCGATAAATCAAAGTTTTATGTAACTCTATCCAAAATTGCTAATTCATAAAAAATTTTTGTCAAGAAATATTGAGAAACTTAGAACTTTGATACGCCAACTAGTGGTTCAAAGTGTAACTTGAACTACTCAAACTACTCAAGGTAGGCTAATTTTGTGTACATGTGTACATGTGTTGCCTACTTTTGCCTACTTTGAGTAGTTCATTTTTAAACACCAGAGGTCTAATACCTAAGCCACGCCCATCCTAAGGATCCCAATAAACAATAAAAGATTTAAAAACGGGGTTTTTTAAGGGTCAAAATATAAGCATCAACTTTAGACTTCTGTAAAATCATAAATTCAAATTTTTTTTCCACGCTGAATTTTTTGGTGATTAGTTGAACCTTCTTAAACGCAATGATGAAAAAAAATATTTATTTTTTTCATAAATTATTATCATAATTTATAAACAATGGTCACTCGCTATTTTTTGATCAAATAGAGATAGAAATTTGTTTCGAATTAGCATTTATAAAGGGTGAAATATAGGAATTACGTGCGAATTATGAAATTTGCGACTATCAAATTTTCTGATTTATTTAATTTTTTAAATTTGAGACAAGTGTTTATGGTCCCTATCGACTTTCGACCCTTTTGTAATTGATCCTTTTTCCATAGGCGTAGTTGCTCAAATATACCTGGAATATTATCTTTATATACTTATTTCTTTCACACAGTAGGTACAAAAATGAATAGTAAGTTTAATTCACGAAATAGCCGGCCAAATTTTTAACAAAAAAAAAATAATTTATAGAATATTACAGAAAAATTGATATTTTTTCTTAATTTATCAATAATATTAAAATATTTTTGAATAATTTTCATGGAGACTTTGGCATTATCTCTCCAATTACTTAATGCATTTTTAATATCATAACCAATAACAATTTTTAGCCAATGTAAAATAAGAGAATAAGACACTCGTAACTATCTTTACTTTAGAAATTATACTACCTGAAAAATAAGTCTTATGTCGAAAAAATATTAAAATAATATCTGTAATTCGAAAATCCATGTTTATCTCTCATAAGCCTATCTTGAACCTGAGAAACTGTTTTTTTTTGAAACATCAATATCTCATAATTTACAACTACAAAAATGGATAGGAAAAAGACAATTATACACAGTATATACTTAAGCGGATTTTCATATTTTTTAAATGTTTTCTTTATCGATTGCAATCTCCAAATATTACCGTTTTTTTTTCTTTTTTACTGCAATAAGTAAGTCTCTAAAAACTGAAAATCTGGCTACTTGTATTAAAAAATTTTTATCTTTCTTGAGCTTAAAATATTATCATCCCTACAAGTTCAATGAAATGTTTGTGTATATCAACCGAAATTTTCCATATATTATTTAGTTTGAAAGAAACTGTCAAAGTGTTAAGAGCTTTCTGCTTACAGTGTCAAGTCCAAGAACAGTAGTGATATTTTTTTCTAGGATATAATATTTTATACTAATATGTCGCGAATCATTTTTGATAACAATGAATTTGAAAGAATTGATGCTGGTGGTAATGGTGATTGTTTTTTTAAGTGTATCGCTCAAAAGATAAATAGCCGAGCTGGTACAGTTCGAGCAAATGTTGTTACACATGTTGTTGAAAATTGGACATCATTTGAAACCTATGCTAAAAATATTTTGGGGGTGAATAGCAAGAATGATTACAAAGTTGAAATGGGAAAATCAGGCACACATGCATCATTAATAGAGTGCAAGGCAGCAGCAGACCGTTATCGTATTAATATTATTATCATGAGACTCAATAACGATGGGTCACATTTTAGGATAGATAATAGTATGCCAAATTATGCTGATACAGTTTATTTATTACTTACTGGAAATCATAATGATAATAATCGTGATGGTCATTTTCAAATTTTAAAACCTGTCAATAATAATAGCAATAATTATTACATGAGTAATAATGACAATTCTTGTAATTTTAATTCTTGTGAAATTACTAATCATAATGTTGATTCTAATAAAAGTGTTAATAATAATAGCAATAGTGATAAAATGATAATTTAAATAGTGCAGAATTAATGGATATTAGTGATTCAACAGATTCTGAAGTCGATACTAATGAGTTTGACTTTGAAAATGATAAATTCTTTAAAAATAACAGAAATAAAGTCGGGTATTTTAGTGAAAAAGAAATAATTTTAATTTTAAAAGTGGCAAAATTTTTTGCTCGCGAAAAAGACCGAAACAACCCTATTAAATTTAGAAATATAATTGAAAAAACAGCGGAGTGCCTCGAAATATCTCCAAGCACTGTTCAACGTATCTTAAGGAAGGATAAAAAAAGAAAGCTTGCAAATTGCTCCAAAATCCGGTAGACCAGCGATACCATTCGATATTTTTCTCCAAGGGATGATTCGACAAACTATTCATGGATTTTACGCGGAAAAAATGTATCCTTCTTTAGAAATGGTTCATAAAAAATTACAAGAGTGTGAACACATACCCGATTTCAAGTTAACAACACTTAAAACTTGGTGTAAAAAATTAAATTTTTCATATAAAAAATTCAATAAAAAACCCGTTTGGATGGAAAATGTATCGGTTGCCGCACAAAGAGACACTTATCTTCGTCAAATAGCGCATTACAGGGAAAATGGTTACAACATTTTTTATACTGATGAATCTTGGTGCGATGCTAATCATTCTAGAAAATATGGTTGGATCGAAACAATTCAATCAAGTGAAATTAACAATTTTGATAGTGACCGCTGTCGTGTCCAAACTGTTTTCGGTGAAAAGGGAGGATTTTTAACTCCTTCAGGATCAGGAAAACGAGTAATAATTTTAGATATTGGTGGAGTCAACGGATTCGTTCCAGGTTGCAGACTTTGTTTTATTGGTAAAAAAGGCTCAGATGATTATCATAATGAAATGAACGCTGAACATTATTTGGAATGGTTTCAAAAAGTATTGCAAGTATTACCGGATAAGTCTGTAATTGTTTTAGATCAGGTACCATACCACAAAATGCTCGATCGTGAATTTCGAAACCCAACCACCGGTTGGCGAAAAAAGAAAATTATCGAGTGGCTTGTCAATAGACCAGTACCACTGCCTCAAAACATCAACGAATTCGCCGACTTAACCAAAAATGAATTATTGCAATTAGCGAAACTGTATCGTTATCCTCCACAATATTTACTTGAAAAAATAGCACAAGAAAAACGTGGAAACGAAGTTAAATTATTATGGTTACCCGTTGCTCATTGTGAATATAATCTCATTGAACTCATATGGGCTTACGTTAAAAATGATGTAGCTAAAAATAATTCCACTTTTAAAATTAATGATGTTCTGAAATTATGTACAAATGCCATGGAAAATATTCCACCTTCATTATGGCCTGATTGCATTGAACATGCAAAAAAAGAAGAGGCTAAAGCAAGAAGAACGTGCATAAATATGGCTCGCGAAATCGAACCGATAATAATTAGAGTTAATGAAAGCGATGAAAGTGACTCTAATAGTGAAAATGATAGTTATTGTAATTAATACAATAATAGTTGTCATAACAACAACTTTTGTCATAATTATGCATACAAATTAAGAAAAGAATTTTTTATCCAAGAGTGTCAATAAGAAATAGTATAAAATTGCTGACTGTCGAAATTTTAATTTATTAAGTGAGATTCATAACTGCAAAAAATTTTTGTATAAAAACAAAATTTGTATTTGCATTTAAAATAAACTAAACAAAATTTTTATAAATAATTGACCTTGTTGAAAATAAATTTATCCAGAACAGAAATTTATCTAAAACTTATATACTCAATACAAAACTACAGATTATGGAGAAAAATATATTTCAAAAAGAAAGTAAATTTGTATTTTTGCTTGTCGACGCCCATGAAAATCAAACAAAAAATTGTGAGTTCTGACCCACTCAGGTAAGACGTCCGAATTTTTATGAGTCGTAAGCCTTTGCCACAAAAGAAATGACAATAGAATATCATTGTAATCGCTTCGGTTTAACAGAGGCCATAAACACGTCTCAAATTTAAAAAATTAAATAAATCAGAAAATTTGATAGTCGCAAATTTCATAATTCGCACGTAATTCCTATATTTCACCCTTTATAAATGCTAATTCGAAACAAATTTCTATCTCTATTTGATCAAAAAATAGCGAGTGACCATTGTTTATAAATTATGATAATAATTTATGAAAAAAATAAATATTTTTTTTCATCATTGCGTTTAAGAAGGTTCAACTAATCACCAAAAAATTCAGCGTGGAAAAAAAATTTGAATTTATGATTTTACAGAAGTCTAAAGTTGATGCTTATATTTTGACCCTTAAAAAACCCCGTTTTTAAATCTTTTATTGTTTATTGGGATCCTTAGGATGGGCGTGGCTTAGGTATTAGACCTCTGGTGTTTAAAAATGAACTACTCAAAGTAGGCAAAAGTAGGCAACACATGTACACATGTACACAAAATTAGCCTACCTTGAGTAGTTACACTTTGAACCACTAGTTGGCGTATCAAAGTTCTAAGTTTCTCAATATTTCTTGACAAAAATTTTTTATGAATTAGCAATTTTGGATAGAGTTACATAAAACTTTGATTTATCGATCTATATGTGTCATATTTTTTTAATGCCATTTTTTTAAATATAAGTTACTCACGTTTGAAAAAAATAGTCTATTCTATTTGACTCGATAGTAGTTGAAAGCTATGTCAGTAGCTGTTTAAGTTAATTTATTTTCTGCAGTTTCGACCTAGTTTACAAATGTTCTCATTATTGCTTTTTTCACCTAACTACAAACAGTTGACTTATTACATCGAAACGATACTCCAATATTCCTGTAGGATATTATACAATTATATTTATTTTTAGTTTTAAATTATTTTGACTTGAAAAGCTAGAAAATTTATTCAAGCCCTATTTTTCAGTTTGAAGTAGCGGCAAGCTTAAGAGTGACATATAGGGCCAACCGTTATACAGATTTCTATCGATCACTTTACAGTCATTTTTGCAAAATAGTCTAGTCAACAAGTGCCTTTTTGCTCAACTTTTTTCAGCAGTCTCTGAAAATTATGATTGAGGTGTCATTCGATTCAAAATGGCATCTAGAAGATTTTCGAAAAAAATGAAGTTCCGCTTGCAAAAATTGCAAAAGTTATCAACAATTAACTAAAAAAAAAAATTAGAAAAACCCTTGACCCTGAAGGCCACCCCTGCAACTTCCCACTAATTCCATACTTAGGCGCTTAAAATTGCACCAAAGACGTTTTCGAGCTCTTCGAGCTCAAAAATACGATATTATAAGGGGGGCCCTCACCCAGGTCTGTGACTTCCTGGGGACGACTCCACTTGACACTTGGCATCAAAACGGCGCCACCAAGAGTAAATAAAGATGTTGAGAACTCAGCCTCTTGGTGCTGAGTTCCTTACCAAGCTAGCTCGACCAGGGCGTGGGAAAATCACTTTCCTGGTCACAAGGAAATGTATTGAGAGTGAGAGAGGTGGACTGCAGGGATAAGAGATAGGTTATAATTAACAACTGGTTTATTCACCCGACACAAACAACGAGTACACTTTACAATAGATCTAATTAATAAAAATGTTCACAATAAAATAATGACTCGACATCCCCAAGACTCGATATCAAAATTCACTGACTCTACAATTATAATTCACTTATTAACCCTTTAGAGTCAGAGGATCTTGAAACGTCTTCGCGTGAGAGTAGTGGGGAGAGCGCAAATCCATAGTAAGACCCAAGAGTGGGGTTTCAAGGTCAGACTCTAAAGGTTTAAGTAAATATAAATCTCACTTATAAAAGAACGTACTCAACGATATGCCTGCTGTGTGCTAGATGAATAACTCGACAGTAAATGGACGCAGGTACAGAATTCCTGAAGTTGTTGTTGACAAATCCACGAGGTAGTACAGCACCGACTTCCTGGCCTCCTGGCCAACCCGAGAACGCCTCACAGACCATTCCAACAGGACCTGGTCTGGGTCTCCTGTTCTCCAATGAGGATGGACGCCTGTCCACCCGCTCAACCATCGCCGACGCGTCCCAGGTGTTGTGCGTATAGGCAGCGACGTCTTCGATTCAACCAACTCGTTTGGCTGCCGACGACGGAAGAAAGCGAGCTCACTCATGCTCTTGCCAAAGTGCTCTCCTACCACCTCCACTCAGTCCCAAACTATAGCTCTGGCGCTAAAACAGAGTTTGCCGAAGCAACACAGCGCGGCCAGATAACTTCTTCACATATACATTTTGCCTTGCCGGCCATCGAGTGCACTGGTCTACAAGTCCGAGTATGACGTTGTAATTTAAACTGAAACCTTCCGGTTACAATATATGTGTTATTTTGAGCTCTCCGAACTCAGAGAGTTAGCTGTTCTAAGTTTTTGAGCTCTTCGAGCTCAAAAGTCTGATAGAAATTTCATAGAACACTATTTTTTAAACTTTCAAACCACAATAACTTTTAAATGAATAAACCGATTTCCACGCAGTGAGCAGCATTCGACGCAGTTTTTTGAGCCTCACAAAGAATCCAAGTTTAAATCAGGCTAGGAATTTCGGAATGATTCGGAAGAAACACTTTTTTCAATTTTCTTTCGTTCACAATATCTCTCGAACGAATCAACCAATTTTGACCGGACCGGTGGCAATCGACGTTGTTTTTCAAGATTAAGAGCTGATTAGTGTCTGGAATTGATCTATAAAGCCGTTTAAAAGTTATTGCAAAAAAGCCACATTTGAAAAAGATTTTTTTCTAAGTTATTTTGAGATTTCTCAAAATCTATCGGTCCGAATCGGTTCAAATTCACAGGAAATTTAAGTTTGGCCAACCACTTTCGAATAGCACCAACCGCGATGGAATCGGTCAAACCGTTCAAAAGTTATGAGAGGTTTACATACATCAAGACACACATACACACACACACAAACACACAAACACACACACACACAAACACACACACACACACACACGCCTGCGGCAGAGGAGAAACTGCTACCAGGCGCGTCTCCCCGTAGCGGATGGGTTGACACTCGCTGTCCCTGGATGACACTTGGATAATCTCCTAGTTGATAAGGTACAGAGGGTAGGAGTTAAATAAAATACGCTCCCGTGGATGTTTGTATTAGCTGCTGTTGACACTTGATGCTATAAACTTTTGCTGAAGAGTAAATGTAATTAAAATTAAATTTTGATTAAAAAATTTTGAAAATAATTTTAGAATAATTTTAGTTCCGTAGTTCAAGCGCTATGAGTAATCGATCTGCTGGCTATAACAACCATGTTTCTTCAAGCTATGGTCAGCCAGAAATTCAAATCATTCAGTTACAGAAGTCCACAAATGGAATGGGTCTCAGTATTGTTGCCGCAAAGGTGAGAAATTTATTTTTCTTAAATATCTATCCTACCACAAAAAATAAATTGTTATTCGGATCCAAAAACTAGTGTTAAGTGTGTATAAGGTTTTTATAGTTCGGCCACATGAACTTTAAAGGCTTGAATTTAAGAATTGGAAAGATAATACGGAAATTTTGGTTATAACCAGACTTATTTAGTAAAAAATCTAGATTCATAATAATATGAAATAATTAGGGCTGTACAATTTAACCGGCCAAGCCGGCTAAAAAAGTTAGCTAAATTAATTAGCTAGCCGGCCGATAGGCTTAGCTAATTTAACCGGTTAACTTAATTAGCTCAGCTAATTAGCCAACGGCTAACTGGCTAATTCTTTTTTTCAGCTATTTTCTGATTCTTTACTTACAGACAGGTTCAAAAAATAATAATAATGATTTTTATGACAAAAATAACGTAAATAACGAAAGTAATTTATTTAATTAATTAACACTTAACAATATTTTATTTATGAAAATGGCTCTTAAATTAATTGTTGAATTTGTTTTCCGTAATACTTCTATTTTGATAAAGAAAAATCATTAAGGGAGTATTCTAGTCTAGAAGCATGAATTACAGGTAATTTTTTGAAGTGCCGTAAAAAAAAGGCAATCAATATTTTTACAATCTATTTTTTTCATAAGTTATTTATTAGCATTACAAGAATACAGAAAAAAATAGAAAAAAATGAAAATTCAAAAAATTAGCAGCTGATGAAGTTGGGGGGGGGGGTCTAAAAAAATTGGCACGTGATCATGTCCACAATTCTAACCTTCCTAGCAATCGGAAATAAAAAAATAAAAAAGATTATTAATCTAGAGTAATGTCGCTATGGCATGAACTAGGGAAAAGTTGAAAAAAAATTTTTTCACAAAATGCGACTGCCTGAAAAAAAAATTTTTTT